CAGAAGGGTTTGAACACTCATCAAGATTTTGGAGGAAAGCTTGTCCTTTGCTATGGTGATTAGTATAGTTTCCTATTCGTGAGTAGACATTCATTCGTGGAGTTAGTGGGTACTAGAGTTGACTAGTCGGCTCCGTACTATACTATACTCTAGAAAGGGTATGGGTTTGTCCTCTGTGTGTGGAAGGACAAGACAAAAACAATCATGCAAAACAAGCTTCATTTGATCGCTGAATGCTGGAATAACACTGAAGATCTCTTCAGCATTCGCTGAGGCTTGGGCAGTCTTCACACATATGTTGACCAGGTTGTAATCATTGAATGCCGCTTCAGATCACGAATGCGCTAGTCACTAATCTTCAGTTTCAGTCTTTGACTTTCACTGAAGGTTCTTTGGTGTGAGTTTTGTCTTCTTGAAGTATCGCTGTCGCTGTAGGATTTACAATACATGTTTCAGCAATCACTGAACAGACCTAGTGATGATCGCTGAAACTTAAAGAACTGAAACATAATACTTTGAATAGGTAAAAGAGATTATCATCAAATCAATAAGAGAGAGGATAAAAAATCTACCCTTATTTGATGATGACAAAGCAACATAAAGAAAATTGCCTTAATAAATAATAGTAAGGAGAAGTTACATAAAAAGTAGATGTCCCTTTTAACTATTTTGGGATCTTTTTCAGTGAATCAGTTTTTACTTAATAAGTTTTCTTAAGTTACAAGTTTAAGAAAAAGTACAAGAAGGGAAACTAAAACTGAAATTGAAAGTATGTTCACTGATTAGAGATTGTCAGTGACTGTAAGAGAATACTGGAACTCATAAACATGTGTCCCTATTACTCTTTTTAGGGATCATTTTTAGTGAAGCTGATGAACTACATATATTCATTCAAAGGATAAATTACAAGTGTTTTTGTCAGTACATTTATGGACTTACAAAATATAAGTTGTACACTGAAAGTAAAGACATAGATACAAAAGACATATAGTGAAAGACAAAGTTACAAGATAAAATTTCATAACTAATCTAGGTCGCTTAGGTTGATGTAGCCATATACTTCTTCTCCAATTCGACGTAGAAATTCTCTTTTGATCTTGTGATCCATCATTTCACCATATATATCATCGTCCAACCAATATATGATTATGAAAGATGTTTCATTGGACAAAGATGTAGCTCATACACTCTCTGGAAGCTGTGTTCGCCTTCATAGTCAAGAAAAATAAATCCTAACTCAGGCTTGAGGTGCATAGTGTTGGGTATGTAAGGACCCTTCGCTGGCAAGGAGAGGTTCAACATTGAGATGTATGGCTTCTTCGAATCCTTCAAGACTTCGTGTAAGGAGAACTTTGTTTCATGTTCATTCCTCAGGGTTGGTCCGTCATTAGGACTTGAAGGTCTTCTTCTTCCACCTTTCTTTAGTGCTGGATTTGTAGGTACATCGACGTATTTGGACATCTTCTTGATCAGCTCGCTAATGATGTCTTCAATAATTGGCTTGTGCCTTGACTTTGAGCGCTAAATGGCTTGGCAGATCTCCAGCCATTCACTGTAGCCATACTGACCTAGGTAGGAAGGATACTCCGTGACAGCATCAAGATTGTCTTTGGTGATGAGCATTGAGACTAGAACTCCACCGTCTTTCACCCATCCACTAATTGTGACGTTTGAATTTGGATGAGGACTAATTCTCTTATTTAGGCGTTCTTCGCTCCATCTTCTGTCTCGATTGACCACCTTTATCGCCTTTTCATGCTCAATTTCTGCAATAGAAAGCAATTTAGCCTAGGCCTTGACAACATTCACCATCTTTTTAGACATCTTCTTCAAAAGAACTTTAGCAGCAAGAGACTTGTTGTCGCTGAAGTCTGAGTTCTTCCTTAGCCTTGAGTGCCTCGAGTCTTTCAGCTTCAGACATGAAGTCAAACTCACCACAACTAGAGGTACGAAGAGGGATTTTTACTCTAGTTTGGTCGAGTGACTCCTTTAACTGAGATATCTGCTGATCGGTGGGAACACTAGAGGTCGGGTTTTCATGTACCCATTCTTCTAGCCGACCGCAGGTACTAGAGGGGATGGAGGAGAGTTGACAAATATAATTAATATGCTAAACCTGGAGGATTCAGTACTTAAGGACTCAACGGGTTTGAAGAGTACATTGAGCTTTCCTTTTCAGCAACACCTTTGCCTTTCGACTTGGTATCCTGCTTCTTCTCTGATGTCTCTTTCTTTTTCTTCCCTTGGGATGCAGAATCCCTGAGAGAAACTCCTTTTGTGACACTGGTAGGTTTCTGGTACTAAATAGTGAAGTCACCATCATCATCGTCTTCATTATTATCACCAAGGTCCTTTCCAGCATCAGGAAGGTTGGGAGATTCATCGTCTTCATCATCATCGTCATCATACTCATCATCATCTTCCTTATCACCAGCATCAGCTGAAAAGGTGATAAAGAAGGTATTCGTCACGAGCTTCAACGCCAACTCTGACGGTTTCATCAACAACCTCAGCTACAGGAGCTTCATGGGAAGTTGGGCTTTCATCAACAACCTCAACTTCATTAGCCGTGGCTCTAGGAGCTTCAGCTTCAGTTTGAGTCGTTGGGATAGCAGCAGCTTCAGCAACATCAGCAACAACTTCAACAACAGCAATAACTTTTAACTATGTCTCCCCCTCTTTGATATCAACATGATATTCAAATAAGTTGTCAAGAGTTCTGGTCTGAATCTCCACCATTTGTTCGAGCTTTGTCAACTCTAAGTGAAAGATGGTACAGGTGCTGGTACTGGTCGTGGAGAATCTCCAGTATCTGCTGCATCAGCGCAGTATGCCTGGGGAGATGGGCATTTGCTTCATCGGCCTTGCTGTTTAAAGCAGAGATGGCCTCAACGTTAAGGCGCACAACTTCTTACACCGAGGAGAGGTATTCCTTGACCTCTTTAACTTTAGCTTTGACAGCTGAAAGGTCAGCAAAGACTTTGTCTCTAAGAGGCATGCGACTTCGTCCATTTTGATAAGGACATTCTCCACATCAGGGAGAAGAAGGTTGACGTCATCAGCCATGTTGTATTCTTCTTCCATGGCTGACGTTTCTACGCAAGGACATGAAAAGAAAAAAGCTTGAGCATAAGATAGCTTGGGGTTAGAAGAAATGAAAGGGTAGGATGGTAGAGTACCTGAGGGTTCATCAACACCATCGAAAGGATTGATGCTGGTTCGCTCCAGGTTGCCTTCGAGAGGATAGGCGACCATATGCTGAGATGCCTCGAGAGGTGATAAGTACCAAATTTATACAAGAGGAACATGAGCAAGGAACAAGGTGCGATGGAGGGAGAGGGAGAACTGGATCAAAAAGAAATTGCTCACCAAGTGAGCAGAAATAGAGAGGGCAGAGGAGACCAGAACCTGTCGATTGAGAGGAGAAGCAACAGAAATCGAAGAAGCTATCAATTTCATCGAGATTGAGAGAGAGGTTGAAGAGGACAAAGATCGAGAGACAAGTAGATATTACTTAGGAGCAGAAACAGAAGTCGATAATGGGAACGAACAAAAATTGATCAGAAACAGATGCTGTGAAGAAACTGAAATCGATTTCTAGATTTAGAGTCGAATTTGGATTTCTCAAATTAGGGTTCTTCATACTCAACTGCTTTCTACCATCTGTAAGTTCAATTTCTGTTTCAAAACAGAATTATGAGTTGTTAATTTTCTGTTTCTAGTGATGGGATTTTAGCTAATTTGCATTGAATTTTTGTTGAGACTTGTTTAACATTGAAACTTAATTGAATTTTATTTGTGCAATTCTTGTTCAAAACCGTTCTTCATTTTTGGGATTTTTGTTTTGAGAAGGATCCCTTGAATCCTTTAGCCTAAACTTGAATTGCTAGTTGTGATTAGGAATATGTAATTGTTCTTAATTTCCACTTGGTAGTAAATAGTGCATCAATAGAGAACCAAGTTCATTGATTTGCATTATAGGACTGTGTGATCTAGCTTAAATGTTCGGGTTTCCGTTTATTAGTTAGGATTGGTGCTTGTTTATTGCTTAAGGCAATTGGTACGTTGAATTTTACGTATGTGACTAGAATCAACTTAATCTATTAGGAACTAATATACCGAGCTCCTCGTGCTAGTTTAATTTTAAAGACAAGTGGAGTGTTTGGCACGTGTCGACACTCACGACCGGTCTAAAATCTATTGAGAGAATGTTTTTGTACAAGTCAATGATACATGATTTGATATAGAACTAGTTATACTCATCACTAGAATTTATTCATTATTGTTTAAAGATCTCAATATAATTTGCATATTTAGGCCATTTATCAATTTTCCAAACCCCCTTATATATACATATTATTTTTAATGAATTTGCACGAGGTTACGTCTTGGACTTACGGTTAACACGAGTCCCTGAGGAAACGACCCTACATATCGCTATCACAAGTTGTGTTTTAGAGATAATAGGATTATTCTTTTTATAAATTCTATTATTTGTCAGACTCGACTCCCGGCAAATTTTTGGTGCCGCTGCCTGGGACTCGGCGAGTTTAACTGTTTATGCCAAGATCGTTTCGTGCAGGTTCACCATTGCCAGTTGATCCGGAAATTGAGAAAACCGCAAAGAAGCTAAGAAATTAAGCTAAGCTTCGAAAGAAGCAAGGTGCGTGCACTTCTTCACCGGTTCTCAATATTTGGATAAATATTGAGCTGTCGTCCGATTCAGAAGGCCAAACGGAGGAAGAAGAAGAGAAACCCCATTTTGAGCATGAAGAATCGGTCATCAAGACTGAAAAGAAGAAATGGCAAATCCTGACCACCCTTTGAGGGAATGGGCAGCACCCAACGTCGCCGAGCAACCTCTTTGCATCACCTATCCGACATAAGAGGTAAATGCTAAACTTAAAACTAGTTTAATACACTTACTACCTCATTTTCATGGTTTAGCTAACAAAGACCCATACAAGCACATGACCAAGTTCCACATGGTATGCTTAGGGATGAAGCCACAAGACACGACGGTGGAGAATCTCAAGCTGAAGGCATTTCCATTCTCCCTAGTTGACACAACTAGGGAGTGGCTTTTCTACTTACTGGTGGGATCCATTACCACTTGGGCACAGATGGTGAGAGCATTGCTTGACAAGTACTTTTCCGCATCCAAAGCCGCCGGGCTTAGAAGAGAGATATATGGGATCAAGCAGAAGAACATGGAGTCATTATACGAGTATTGGGAGCGCTTCAAGCGCCTTTGTGGAAGTTGTCCTCAACATGATATTTCTAATGAATTAGTAATTCAATATTTTTATGGAAGTTTGCTACCGAGGGAGAGAAAGATGATGGATGCCACGAGCGGAGGAGCTATAGTGAACAATACGCCAACTCAAGCGAGGACCTTGATAGATACCACGGTGGAAAACTCCAAAATATTTGGAGTACGAAGTGACATTGGCCATGGCGCTAGTGAGGTACATGTTAAATCTTTAGAAAATAAAATAACTGATTTGACTAACCTTGTGAAACAGCTTGCCATGGGTAATATGCCTCAAGTCAAGGCATGTGGATTTTGCTCATTAGTGGCACACCCCACCGATGCATGTCCGACTTTACATGAAGAAGAAGAGCAAGTGAACGCCATTGGGGGTGGCAACTTTCAGAACTCAAGCAACCGGGCTACCGACCCTTTCTCGAGCACATACAACCCCGGTTGGAGGCAAAATCAGAATCTGAGCTATGTCCTGAGGCAAGGACAAGAACAAGGTCAACAATTTCAGCAAAGAGGTTCATTCTAGCCGCCTCAACAATTTCAATCTCAACAACTCCAAGCACCACCAGGATTTTAGCAACAACATCAACCGAAGGCACCATTTCAGTCGGGTACCCAACATCAACATCAAGTGTCACCGCCAGCTTCTAGTGGCTCAGATATGTCATTAGAGGATGTAGTTAAGTCTATGGCTGCTTACATGGTGAAATTACAACAGGAAACTCAAGCGAGTATTCAGGACCTTCAGACCATCGTTGGCCAATTAGCAAACAAAGGTAAATTGTCGTCTCAAATAGAGACAAATCTAAAGGCAAAAGTGAATGTCGTCACTTTGATAAACGGGAAGGAGCTTCAAGAGGTTGGAAGGAAGAAGAAAGAAAAGGTTCACGAGGAAGAAGAAGAGTTAGAGGTCAACACATCCACTTTGGGTGCAAAGAATGTCAAAGAAGAGGAGGCAAAAAAAACACCCGAAGTGATAGTTCAAAGACCGCCATTTCCGAGTCGGTTCGAGAAGACAAAGTAGGAGAACAAAGAGAAGGAGATCCTTGACACATTCCAGAAAGTTCAAGTAAACATCCCTTTATTAGATGCAATTAAGCAAGTTCCTAGATATGCTAAGTTTTTGAAAGAGCTTTGTACAAATAAAAGAAAACTAAAGGGTAATGAAAAGATAAGTATGAGTCAAAATGTGTCAGCTGTTTTGCAAAAACAGTTACCACCAGAGTGTAAAGACCCATGCATGTTTACCATACTATGTAAGGTAGACAATGTCTCATTAAATCAAGCCATGTTGAACTTGGGGGCATCAATTAATGTTATGCCATATGCCATTTACTCATCTTTGGATGTAGGGCCCCTAAAGCCAACCCGTGTTGTAATCCAACTAGCGGATAGATCTATTGTTTACCCTAAAGGGGTATTAGAGGACGTGTTAGTTCAAGTGAATGAATTGGTCTTTCCGGCAGATTTTTATGTTATAGATATGGAGGAGAAAAATGCCTCCAAGGCCGGTATGCTTTTGCTAGGTAGACCATTTTTGAAAWYCTCTAAGACWAAGRTAGAYGTYCATAGTGGTAGTTTGACCATGGAATTCGATGGCGAGATGATTAAATTTAATATATATGATGCCATGCGATATCCGAGTGAAGTTTCATCTTTATGCTTTGTTGATATTATCGAGTCCTTATCTGACATTATGTTTGATCTATCTAATGAGGATGTGTTAGAAGTGATTCTAGACAATTATTTAATGAATGAAAGTTTGAAGAAGATTGCCCAAGAGTACAAGCTTGATGATGATTTTGCAGAATTGGTGTCTTGGATGGAGAAAGGGTGAGCACCAAAACCAAGGTATGAAGTTTCTAAAATATATTTTCCTTTATCTCACACTAGACTTTTTTCTTCTATTGAACAGGCACCCAAGATAGAGTTGAAGACTCTACCACATCATCTGAAGTATGCCTATTTGGGAGATAAAGAGACCCTTCCGGTGATCATATGCGCCACACTATCACCGAATGAGAAAAGAGAACTTGTGGATGTTTTGAAGGAGCACAAGAGGGCAATTGGATGGACCATTGCCGGCATCAAGGGCCTTGGTCCTTCACTTTGCCAACACAAGATTCTATTAGCGGAGGAGTACAAGCCATTCTGAGAAGCGCAAAGAAGGTTGAACCCACCCATGATGGAAGTTGTCAAGAAGGAGATACTCAAGATCTTTGATACCAATATGATCTACCCAATCTCTGACAGAAGTGGGTAAGCCTGGTCCAAGTAGTCCCTAAGAAAACTGGCATTACTATGGTAGAGAATGCCGAAGGTGAGTTAGTGCCCACCCATGTTCAAAATAGGTGGAGGGTATGTATTGATTATCGTAAGCTTAATTCATCAACTAGAAAAAACCACTTTCCCCTTCCATTTATAGACCAAATGTTAGAAAGGTTAGCCGGTCCTACTGACTATTGTTTTTTTGGATGGTTGTTCAGGTTTTCATCAGATATCGGTGGCGAGAGAGGACCAAGAGACGACCATGTTCACCTGCCCCTTCGGTACATTCGCCTATCAGAGGATGCCTTTCGGTCTTCGCAATGCACCAGCGACATTCCAACGATGTATGATGAGTATATTTTCAGAATATGTAGAGAACATTATTGAGGTTTTTATGGACTTTCACAGTTTATGGTGATTCGTTTAGTTCATGCTTAGATAACTTGACCAAAATTTTAAAGAGGTGCATTGAAACTAATTTGGTTTTAAATTACAAAAAATCTCACTTCATGGTTAACCAAGGTATAGTACTTGGTCATGTTATCTTGGAAAGGGGTATAGAGGTTGACAAGGCAAAGATCGATGTCATAAAATCCTTGCCTTACCCCTCGAGTGTCAGAGAGGTCCGTTATTTTCTTGGTCATGCAGGTTTTTACCGGCGTTTCATTAAAGACTTCTTAAAGATCACTCGACCCCTTTGTGAGCTTCTACAAAAAGAGGTAGACTTTGTCTTCAATGAGGTATGTAAGAGTTCATTTGATTTATTGAAAGATATGCTTACTTCTGCCCCTATCATTCGACCTCCAAATTGGCAATTGCCATTTGAGATTATGTGTGATGCTAGCAATCACGCCTTCAGAGCGGTATTGGGACAGAAAGATGGTAAGAGCTCTTATGTTATCTATTATGCATCACGATCACTTGATAGTGCACAATGCAACTACGCAACCAACGAAAAAGAGTTGCTAGCAGTTGTTTTTTCTTTAGAAAAGTTTAGATCTTATCTGCTTGGCACTAGAGTGATTGTCTTTTCAGATCATGCAGCATTGAAGTTCCTGCTCGAGAAGAAGGACACAAAGCCACGGTTTCTCTTACTCCAAGATTTTGATTTGGAGATTAGAGATAAGAGCGGAGCTGAAAATTTTGTTGCCGACCACCTTAGCCGGCTAGTATTGGATGGTGAGCCAAGCCCACTCACTGATGAGTTTCTAGATGAGCACCTTTTCTCCGTTTTGGGCGAAACCCCATGGTATGAATACATCATTAATTATTTGGTTTCAAAGAGCTTCCTACGTGAGTTATCTAGACCCGATAGAGAAAAGATTAGGAGAGAGGCTCGTCTCTATATGTGGGACGAACCATACCTTTGGAAACATTGTTCGGACCAAGTTATCTGGCGATGTGTGCCCCAAGGGGAGTTTYAGTCTGTTTTACAGTTTTGTCACTCCCACGCTTGTGGGGGCCACTTCGGCCATAAGCGGACATACTGGAAGGTACTTGAGTGTGGGTTGTATTGGCCRACCCTTATGCGAGATTGTTATCGCTTTTGTAAGAGTTGCATGAGGTGTCAAATGACGGGAAACATTAGTTTCCGGAATCAAATGCCCCAATTTCTTATGCTAGTATGTGAGATTTTTGATGTTTGGGGCATGGATTTCATGGGACCCTTTCCCGCATCTTGTGGTAATCTTTACATTATTTTGGCCGTTGACTATGTCTCAAAATGGGTTGAGGCAAAGGCCACTCGAACTGACGATTCTCGTGTAGTTGCAGACTTGGTCAAATCTCACATATTTTTAGGTTCGGGATGCCTAAGGCCATCATCAGTGATCGAGGCACCCATTTTTGCAACAAGGTCATCGACACGGGTTTCTAGAAATATGGGGTTATCCACCACATCTCCATCGCCTACCATCCACAGTCAAACGGACAAGCCGAGGTAATAAATAAAGAGATCAAGTCCATATTGGAGAAGACCGTGAATCCCAATTGGAAAGACTGGAGCTTAAGGCTTACTGACACTTTGTGGGCTTATCGTTCGGCCTACAACATGCCTATAGGTATGTCTCCTCCCGGTGGAATTAGAACATAAGGCGTATTGGGTGGTGAAGACGTGAAATATGGATTTGGATGAAGCAGGATCTCATAGGAAGCTTTAAATTCAAGAGTTGGAGGAGATACATAATGATGCCTACGAAAATGCTCGCATCTATAAGGCGAAGACCAAGGCATTCCAAGATTCTCGTATTTCATGTAATTTTTTCACTAAAGGTCAGAAAGTTTTCCTCCATCACTCTAGATCAAAGTTATTTCCTGGTAAGTTAAGGTCCAGATGGATAGGRCGTTTTGTTGTTTTAACTGTTTTTGAGCATGGTGCAGTAGAAATACAGAGTCTATCTACGGGGCAGATTTTCAAAGTTAACGGCCATAGGCTAAAATCGTTCTATGAGGGCTTTGATGGAGGGGATTTAAAGAGGGTATCTTTGGACATGCCAAGCTACAAGAATTGAACTGAGTATGGTCTAGCCAAAGACATAAAAGAAAGGCGCTGCGTGAGAGGCAACCCACGAATTTCCATTTCTTGTTCTTTATTTCTTCCAGTTATTTAGTTTGCTTTTAGATTCTCCAATTTCACTCTTGGATTTCTGTCTTCTCAAGTTCACTCCAGATGTTGGACACTTGAAGAGACACACCTATCTCAATAGATTCTTACATTGGGAGGTCACTCATCAAATAAGGGGAGTTTTCTATTTCTTTTCCTTCATTGCTTAGAGTGTCCTCTACTTATTGCATACCTTAGTTGTTTTAATAACCTTAGTGGTAGATTTCACCTTGGTAGATTTCTCAGTCTTGGCTACTTTCTTGCCCTTGGCTGAGGCACCATCCTTGGCGGCAGAAGGACACTTACTGCAATATGTGTAGTTTCACCACAGTGTCTATACTTTCTATAGCTGAAGCTAGCTTTAGAGCCAGGAAGTACCAAAGAAGAAGGGGGATAAGGATTCCCTTCTCATTTGTTCTAGGAGGAACTTTTGAGGATTTGGAGTCCTTAGGTGAAACATTCACCTTGAGCTTAGACTTAGATTTATGAGAAGATTCAGATATCTTGATCCCTGAGGAAGAAGAAGGTGCATAAGCTGAAGAAATAGATTTAGATATATGTGACTTGTTATTCTTCTTAGAAAGAGGTGTTGCGACAATGGATTTACCTTTGTCTTTGCAACTTGAACTCGAAGGAGTCCCTTCAAGATGACTCTCAGTAAAAGAAGACTGAGAGGAAGAAGTGTTAGGAATAGAAGAGATGAAGGTACCAAACTTTAGCATGGACCTGTCTGTGACACTATCTTCCTGATCATAAGAGAAGCCTAGACCAGTCTTTATCTTGGCAGGGATCAGAGCGTTAATGATCTTAGAGGCTTTGACAGAGGCTTTACTCCATCCTTCAATGGTAGCCTTTTTAGCCCTAAGTTCAGCAACTGCTTGCTCACGCTTAGCAATAGCCTGTTCGCGTTCATTAGTGATGGTCTGGTTTATAATAACCTGATCTTTAAGATCTTCTTTGATCTTAGTTAATTCTTTGATCTTGGAATGACAAATCTTCAACTATTCTTGAAGATCAAGATTAAGCATTTTTGCTTTAGATTTTCCATTTAGGGCATTGTAAGGTTAACTGTCAACGTATCTAACTCTGATAGGCTAAAAGAAGAAGAAGAAGAGGGTACATTCAGGAGACATACCTGAGTAGGAGAGGATGATGAGGGATCATGAGAGGTTGACGTCTCAGAAATTTCTTCCTTGACCTCCTTATCCATTAAACAAAGATAGGTCGTGTCTTCCTCATCAGAGGATGGTTCATCAGAGAATATGCCCAGTCATGCTGTTCAGCTACAAGACCTTTGGCTTTTCGCTGGGAACTCTTCATCTTCTTTTATTTCTCCTTCAGCTTCTGATATTTATAATCTTTTGTTCTGAAGGAGGACGGGGTTTTCAAAGATGGCATCACAGTCTTCTTTGACTTGCACTCACATGTAAAGTGACCTTTATGGTGACAATTGTAGCAGATCGCTGAAGCCTTGTCAACAATATCTGACCTTGGCTTTTCCTTAATAGTCAGCGTGGGAGATATGCTGAAATTACTTTTCCAGGTGAACCTTCTAAACGACTTAGTTAGAAGCGCCATCGATTCATCAAAGTTTGCAAGGTTAGACTCTGACAGATCCACAAATTTAGTAGAGTCTAACTACGTTATAGAAACGGAAGAAGAAAGAACAAAAGAAGAAGAAGATGGGAGTTCAACTGAAGAAACTTCAGAAGTCAAAGCTAGCGGAGAGCTTGTCATGTCTCTGGAATCTTTGATTATATTTCTCTTCAGTTGTCGAGACTGCTCGTGATTGAGCAGTATCCCATACAAAGAGCTGAAAGAGAGGAAGGACATATCGTTGGACATCTTGAGACACATAGAATATGTATCCCAGGATTCTGGTAAACATTCCAGAAACTTCATCAAAGTTTAAGAGTTGGAATATTCTCTGCCAACTGTCCTTAAATCAGTTAGAAGACACTTAAACCTTGATGTACTTCAGACAACGTTTCAGTCTTTCCACAGACAATGCTTTCATATTGTCTTACTAAGTTTATCTTCCTCGATTCTTGTACCTGAGAGGTACCTTCATATTGAACACAAAGAGTGTCCCACATGGTTTTCGAGGTCTTAAGCGTCATCACGGAGTGATAGACCTCATCAGGAAGATACATAGATATCATAGATCTTGCATGAGTATCTATAGTTATCTTCTTGTTTTCTTCACTCCACTGTTGAGGGAGCTTAGGAATCTGCCGTTCAGGAATCACGGCAATTGTTGCTGATTTGGGAACAGCCAGAGAAAT